AGCCATAAAAAAGAACAAAATCATGAATTTGGCAGCAACCTGGATGGAACTAGAGTCTATCATACTGAGTGATCTCTCACAGAAACAAAGATCTGAGTATCACAAGTTCTCACTCATATAGTGGACCTTGAACATCTATCATAATACTATAAGAAAAGGACTGACAGTGGTGGGAAACTATGGGGGGGTAGGGAAGGCAAGGGAAGTGGGACTAATGGTAGTGAATATCTGTCTGGGGATGGGGAGACACCCCTTATCAACAAGGGTACCTGAATAATGCATATTTATAAACCTAAACCTTAACTGTACCCCACAATTTTAAAATAAAAAATTTAAATTAAAAAAAAAAAGAAATATTGCTTGTAACTTCTTAGGTTACCACAACCTCAGAGCTTCCTTGGCCCTAAAGAAATGTAATTAACATGAAAAAAAAGCATCCAGAAGGAGAGTTGAGAGCAGACATATCCAGATTTAATTACACATTATCTAGTACTCCTACTGGGTTACTGTGGAATGGTCCTATTATAAAGGGCAGGAGAGAGCCAAGTGTGCATGTCCACCACTCAATGGCTGAGGGTGGCCTGTATAGTCCTCAGTTTCACAATTCCTTATCCTGCTCCCTTCCTTTTAACTCTTTCTTTCTAAATCCACCTCCTGATTTTCTTCCAAATGAACCTTACCCTTACACATGCCTTCCTCTAATACTATCCCATGGACAAGACTGCAAAGATAATCCACTCTGCCATTTTTCAGCAGCCACATCACATCCAAGTCCTAAGAACAAATTTTCCTCAAGCAGATCAATGTAGCTCCTCAAGATAAGAAGTGAAAATACTAATATTATCATGGGGACTTTTAAGCCAAGTAGTGGGTAGAGATAGTATTGTTTCTATTTCAGCTCACTAGGAATAATAAAGATACTTCCAGACCAGATGCCGTAGGAGGCTGTGTGAGGAGGTGGTCAAGGGCTATAACTCTGGTCTGGGTTTAACTTTTAGCTCCAATACTAACTATCAAGTAACCCTGAATCATTCAATTAACTGCTCTGAGTCTCAACTTTCTCAACTGTGGGTCACTGTGAAGATACGATAGCTCACATATTCAGCATAACATATAGCACATAAGCAATAATAAATGTTATTAAGACCACTCTGAGGCAAACCAGCTAGGGAACAGGCAGAATGGCACAGTGCTAGGTCAAAGATAATACACCAGGAAATGGGATCAGTATTCACTATGGCCAAATATACACATGCAAGTGCTTCCGAGTACACTGTCATTTAATCTTTGTGAAATTCTCGAGACCCGCCTGGGCAACTTGGTGAGACCTCATCTCCACAATAAATAAAAAACAAAATTAGCCAGGCGTGGTAGTGTGCGCCTGTAGTTCCAGCTACTTGGAAGGCTGAGGCAGAAGGATCGCCAGAGCCCAGCAGGTCGAGGCTTCAGTGGCCGGGAGCGTGCCACTGCACTCCAGTCTGGGAGACAGAGTGAGACTCCAACTCAAAAAAAAAAAATTTGTGAAATTCTTCTCACCAAGCAGCCTGGTAAAAGTTACAATGACTTGCCCACTTCCACACAGTAAGTAGGAAGCACAGCGGGATTCAAATGCAAAGCCCAACACATAATGGAACAGAGGATCAAAGAAGGGCACTGTTGAGTTAGATGAGCTAACATAAGATTCTGACTATTTCTCTTGCAGAGTGGCTATTGTAAGGTCAGTATTTCTGGGGAGACCAAGCATAATGTGCTCTCTAAAAACTGGCAAGAGAAAAGGACGCAAATCCCGAGAAAATGGTCAAATCCAGAGGTGAAACATGCCCACATAGAACATTCAGTCTCACATCTCAGTTTAGGTTATATCACTGAGTAAACTCATGAAGTTCCTTTACTGAATAATCTTGATGTCAAACTGCTATGTGGTCACTGATTTTTTCTTAAAAGCAAAGAATTAGATATGTTTGCAATTGCTTAGGGTTCTAGATTATTAGGATTTAAACACATATTATTCTATGTGAAAAAGATTGACAATTGTAGTGGTTTAGCAAGAAGTCTGTATCGTGAAAAAGGTTTACTGAATTCTTTCAAAATGTCTAAAAACTTACAATGTTGTACATGAAAAAAATACTTACAAATTTATGGATTTCTCAACATTTGAATGAATCACTAAAAATACCACGACTGTGGTGAACATATTTTTAAAATATTTCTTAGAATTCTAACCATTTCTGTCTTCTCTGTGAAAAATGGAACTTATAAATTATCTTTGATTTACACATATGAACAAAACCAGATAATTTAGGAGAACAAGGTAGCCTTTCTATTTTGCAAGAAAGAGAACACAGTAATCTACCCTCACCTTAAAACTACAAATATCTGCCCACTATCTACCATATTCCCTAGTGTGGTAAGTAGTGCCCTGGGTGAAGAAGACTAAGAACAGTGCTGCCTTCAGAGGCTCTGATGGTCTATCAGGAAAACACACACCAAGACGGTAGAGCTAGCACAGAGCATACCTTGTTTTAGAGCACCTTCTCCCGCTCGGATGAAAGAGATCTCATTAGAATCAACCATGTGATGTGCTCCATCCTGCAGGACAAACCGGAGCCCAGAGAGCTTGTAACCAGAAAGAGGGCCCTTCTCACAGGCATCCAAAAACCCCTGAAATGAAGGAACATAGCTTCTGGAGTGAGAGGATTCCACATGCAGTTGCACTATTAAGAACTTTCAAACATTTTTTTGTGTTCAGAAGTATAATGCTTTCATGTATGCTATATTTTACCCCTCAAAAAATTTTCCTCTTTAAAAAAAGTTTAGCATCTTTACAACTTACATTTTTTTATTGGAGCATCTAGATGAGCAGTCTCTCGAAAAAGCATACTATTGAAACGTGTGAGATGGTTTGAAAGCAATGCTAAGAGTGCTAACAATCACTCTCATAACTTCATCTTCAGGAATTACTTAACTCTCAAAACCCTTTGTAGAGTCAGCATGATCTTAAATTTACGTATGAGGAAACAGAGGAAAGTCAAGACTAAGGAACTCCCTAAGAGAAAACCCCATCAACACTGTTGTTTAATCATCAGCTGTGTCTTGTGCGCTACCACATACCTAAGATCCCTCTGCCTCACTGGCAGATCACTACACTGTAGTTCTGGTGGTATACATTGTCAATGACAACTAGAATTAGAAAGCCATTTTCATTATCTCAAATGGCAATTCTTTTTTTTTTTTAACTGGTTTTATTGAGGTATAACTGATATACAATAAACTGCACATATTTAAAGAGTAAAATTTTGTGAGTTTGTAATTCTTTCTAATTCAGTCACTTAACAACAAATACTTATAAAGTTCCTACCATTCAAGTTAGTTTTATTTGCCCACACAATAACACAGTTGCACAGATAATACAATATATTTCTTGACATTTCAAAACTGTAAATTACGTATCCTGAAAAATATCTAGGCTCTCCTTTGCCTACATTAATCTCATAGGACATAGGATATCTGAAAGTATGCGAATGACAAAATACTGTCTTGAAATGAGAGTAAAATGAATGGAATACATTAACTGCCAAAAATGCTACCACAGAAACCAAAATTATAATCTTCAAATAAAGACTTCTTAATTTTTATATTTTCTCCATCTTGAGAATTAGAGGACTTCTAAGTTAAAAGGTTAAAAAAAAAGCCGGGCTCGGTGGCTCAGCCTGTAATTCTGCGTCTTTGGGAGGCTGAGGTGAGTGGATTGCCTGAGCCTGCAGGTTCAAGACCCGCCTGGGCAACTTGGTGAGACCTCATCTCTACAATAAATCAAAAAAGAGCCAGGCATGGTAGCACGCGCCTATAGTTCCAGCTACTTGGAAAGCTGAGGCGGAAGGATCACCAGAGCCCAGCAGGTCAAGGCTGCGGTAGCCGGGAGTGGCCACTGCACTCCAGTCTGGGTGACTGAGTGAGACTCCAACTCAAAAAAAAAAAAAAAAAAAAGGTTAAAAAAAGAAGAAACAACTATCTATAAGAATAAACTAAAGGTTCACAACAGTCTTAAAGCAAGTGACCTGGAAAGCAAACAAAACACTAACCCCTTATACGTGCAAGGCACTTCACAGTTCCCAAGGAAATGTCACATACCTGACCATCAATGTTGTAAGGGGGACAGGTGTATGTATTTTATTCTGTTTACAAATGAAGAAACTGGTTCTCCACACTGATAGCAAGAGGTGACTGCAGCAGCCAGGTGCTGGGAATCTTAATGAAACTTCACAAATCCCTAAGGACTATTACAAATTTTAACTGCTGATTACAATCATGCAGTAGTTTCAATTTATCAAGAGAAATATAATCACCATGATTAAGAACAGACTGATTTCCCATCATTGTCACAAGAAGTAATTACAGTTCCTGCATTTAAGGAACCAGAGATTCTAAATCAGATGAGAAATATAACAATCAGATAAAGAAGCAGGATTATAACTAAAATGAACCATGATAGACAATCTTATGGAAAACTGTTTTTAATAAATAAAAATGAGGGCTGGGCATGGTGGCTCACACCTATAACCTCAGCATTTTGGGAGGTAGAGGTGAGAGGATTGCCTGAGCCCAGGGGTTTGAGACCAGCCTGGGCAACTAGGCGAGATCTCATCTCTACAACAAGTAAAAAAGTAGTCGAGCATGGTGGTGCGAGCCTGAAGTTCCAGATACTTGGAAGGCTGAGGCAGAAGGATTACCTGAGCTCAGCAGGTGGAGACTGCAGAGCCGAGAGCCTGCCACTGCACTCCAGCCTGGGGAACAGGGTGAGACTCTGATGCAAGTAAATAAATAAATAAAATGCAAAAAAGCTTTTTTAAAAAATGTACCTTTTCTACAGCAGGCACAAACTGCTTTGGAACATTGGATCCAAAAGTTTCATCTGAAAACTCCAACTTTGTGTAGTTTTCTGGGTCCAGAGGCTCAAGTACACCAATCACTTTTCCAAACTGGCCTGCACCGCCTGATTGTTTTTTGTGCGTAAACTCAAACCTGAAAGTGATTAAGAAGGAAGAAAACCAACAGAGCATTATATCATTATCAAAATGAAATAATTCATATTAATTTAAAAGAAAAAAAACCACATATAACTATTTTTTCATTTGGATACGATAGTCCTGCTATAAAACTTTATTGTAGAATTTATTTTAAAGAGCTCTCTATTTTCTGTTCCTACTTGGGGGTGAGAATAGTGTACACTACCAAGGAAATCTACGGTTTTAAATTATCTTTTTTGTTTCAACTCCTTTTAAGTTCTTTTTGTGAAATTATGAATTTCACAAATAAAAAAGTAAAGCCAAGTAATTAAAAGGTCAGTCTCAGGTTCTTGCTCTAATAACCTACATCCCAAACAGCTTACTCTGGAATACAGTGTTATCTTTTTAAATCTCTATAACCAAGGACAATTACTCAAAAATAGGAGCTTTGATGGCTATAGTTAATTTTTTCAGATAGTTCCTATTTGTTTTTACTACTTGGGCATTTTAGACTCGGAATACAAGAAAAGGAAGTTCCAGGTGGAATACCTGAAAATGACTAATGGCAAAATGATAGTGACTAACATAAGTAAGCCATTTAAAAAGTCATATACATAGACACAAGTCAGTGTTTACTTCAAACCACTCATGGCAACAGTAATTGGATACGTACATATTAACAAATGCAAACACAGGCTGTTTCACTGAGAAAATATTTCATGAGTACCTACTGTTTGCAAGGCTTTTTTCCTGAAATATTCATCGAGGTCCTAAAATGGAAGAAGCCAGCTACTCTCAAAATTATTTGCAGATAACTGCAGGAAAATGAACATTAATGAGTGTGTTCCTGCATACAGATGCGCATGGTTAGGTAGAAGTAAATATCATTATCAGCAGAAGATGCAAGCTTAGAACACACAGATTTCCTAAAGATCCTAAGTGTGAATGTGCCTGATTGTCTTTAAATCATCTTTCAGTGATCAAGAATTTCAGGATGGGCTGGGAAAAACAAAATGGTAATGGAATAATTTTCTTAGGAGGGAAAGGAAACAGGTATCAGAACTGAGAGAGAAGAAAAACAGAAGTAACTGCCAAGTCACCAGAGAACTACTGAAGGGATTTCCCAAACTGTGGTGCGCTGACACATGCTCAGGTATACACAGAATTCTCTAGGACGGAGTCCCCAAACCCCTGAGCTCCACCTCCTGTCAGATTAGACTCTCATCGAAATGTGAACCCTATTGAGAACTGCACAAGCAAGGGACCTATATTGTGCTTCTTATGAGAATCTAATGCCTGATTATCTGAGGTAGAGCTTAGGTGGTGATGTTAGCGGGGAAAAGTGGCTGCAAATACAGATTAACATTAGCAGTGAGGTTTGACTGCACATCTGCCCATTCCATCCCCAGTAAGTGGAAAAATTGTCTTCCCAGAAGTCAGTCCCTGAGGCCAAAAGGTTGGGGACTGCTGCCTAGGAGATACCTTAAATCTTGTGTCCAATTTGACATTACTACAGCATCTACACAAACATACTCTAGATCTGTGTTGTCTGTACAGTAACCAAAGCTATTTACATTTAAATTAATTAAAATTAAAGAAAATTGAAAATTCAGTCCTTCAGTTGTACTAGTCACATTTCAGCATTCGACTGCCACACATGGAGAGTGACTACTGGACCAGAAAGCACAGAAAGAACATTCCATCACTGCACAAAATTCTACTGGACAGCACTACTCTGGAAGACAAACTCACAAATGAGTAATTCCACCACATCTCAACCTACCATCAAAGTGACAAGTAACAGAACACTTACATGCCAGGCTTGTGTTAAGCACTTTATATGGGCTGTCTTACTTGTTCTTTACACAAACTAATGAAGTAGGTACCATTTTTCTCACTATTTTACAGATGAGAAACCTGAGGGTTAGATGTTAAGGAACTTATCTGATGTGACACAGCATTATAAATGGCAGAGCTAAGATTTGCACCAAAACCAAGACCCTTAACCAAACACTTTTCTAGAAAGCTAAAAATAATATAAACTGATTTAACCCACAAGTAATGCATTCACTTCAAAAGCCATCAGAAGGTGCTGTAAGAAGACAGATTTTGCAGTAGGTTAGATAAAGAAGAGGTAGAAGAATTAAGACCACTTGGCAGACAGCTAAATAGACGTGAAGATAAAAGAGACTATGCATGCCCTGCTGTATGTCATGAAAAGCAATTTCATCTTGGCAAAACATTATCTGTCACATTAAAATTAATGTTAAGTAGGATTGGATGAGGGGGGAAGAGGGATGAACCTGAAATTGCCCATTGGGTACGATGTACACTATTTGGGTGACAATTACACTAAAAGCCCAAACTTTACCCCTAAAAATCATCCATGTACAAAGTTGCACCGGTATCTCCCCCACCTTTTTTTTAATTTTAAAAAATACTGTTAGGGCCACATTAACTTCAACAACAACAAAAAAGAATTGTGTAGGTTTTATTGTTTATCTCTAATTTGTACATTTGTTTTGACTTTATAGTCATACCAAAGTTGTAAGCTAAAGGCGTTTTTGTAAGCTTTGGTTACAACCAAAGTTGTAAGCTATAGGTGTTTTACTTAGTTTTATGTTGATACAGTTTACATAAAGTTATAACATTATTTACCTGATCCCAGAGGCTTATAGTAATTTTGTTACTTTGAAGGTAACCCACACATTATTCAAGTTTGAGGATAATGAACTGATAACTAATCATCCATGAAGCTTTGGTTAGTAACTAAGACTCAAAGAACCCAAATAAGATTCTCTTAAGGTGGTTTATTTCATATCTAAATAAGCACTGAAGTTTTTTTTTTTAACTGTACTTACTATATTTTTAGGAGAACCTAAATTGGTAAGTGTACTTTTAAATGCCTGTTATGCCACAACCTATGTTACTAACTTTGATCTACAGACATGGTGAACATATTCATAAAGCCTCAAAATGGTGACTCGAGGAAGCTCACATATTGTGCTTCTCACTACTCTAACTACAGTAATGCAGGAGATGTTAACTAGCATCTTGTGAAACCTACAGTATCATTAGCAAAAATCCCAGAACAATATCAGCAAAAAGCTCTTTTTGAGTCATCAGAATGTATTCAGCACCTTTTCCCAAGCACTATCAAAGGAACACATATTAAAAAAATTAACACAATGACAACCCAGGAGGTTGGTTCATAGATAATGACTCATCCAAAGGAAAAACAAATAAAAGAAAGCAAAAAAACCCCTCCAATTTCTTAGAAAAAGACTTATGAAGAGAAACTAACCATTTCATCGTCTAATTAGTTTACAGTTCTTGGCTAATATAACTAGAAAAGATTAGAAATGCTATTTTTTTTAAAGCCATATACTCCCAAGAAAGATTTTATTTGTAAATAAAATTGAAATAGTTTATGAGAAAAGCAAGAATGAAAGTAAATTGAAACTACAAAGTCAAAGCTTTGTATCATATATTAGTCAGAAATTGTCTAAGTATCCAAGACTAATTTAAAATTATGTCAAGTCTTGAAAAGTTAACTGAGGATATGAAAAATTACAATTTTAGTCAATACATTTGGTATTTATAATTAGTAGCAGCATAATAATTTGATAAGATCAAACCCCTTTCAAAGACATCTGTATTTACAATTTTATTTAATGTCATTTCATATTTTGTAATCTTGACCTGTAAGACCAATATAGAAAATTTAGAAAGTTTAAATCATGAAAAGTTCAACTTTAGTTTGTATAAACTAGAATGTTTTATCGGCATGAATTTTATATAACAAAACCTGGAAAAAAGATATTTAATTGACTTTACATAAATATTAATTCATTAGTTTATCCAAGTTCATCTATTTAACAGAAATAGTTAATAAATCCTTTTTAAAATTATGATGTATCTTATATTCATAATCATTAAATTATATTTCAAAGGCCTCTTATAACTTGAAAACTTGTTTTTTTCTGAGTCAAGGTCTCACTCTGCCACCCAGGCTAGAGAGCAGTGGCAGGATCACGGCTCACCACAGCCAACACCTCCTGGGCTCAGGCAATCCTTCTGCCTCAACCGCCTGAGTAGCTGGGACTACAAGCACACACCACCATGCCTGGCTAATTTTTTTGGTTTTGGGTAGAAATGAGGTCTTGCTATGTTGCCCAGTTGGTCTTGAACTCCTAGGCTCAAGCAATCAATCCTCTCACCTTGGCCTCCCAAAATGCTGGAGGTATCACAGGTGTGAGTTACCATAACTGGCTAAAAACTTGCTTCTTATAACTGTAACAAAGGCTATTTAAATCCATGCAACTACACATTTTAAAGCACAAATAGTTAATGACTTTTTTCTTTTAGACATTTTTGGCTGCTTATTTGGATTAGATATTCCATATCTCCAAATTATCCTTGCCCGATCATCCTAAAAGCACCACGAATAAACCAGTGCTCCTACAAAGTCAGGGTTGTAGACCCACTTCAATGAGGGAGATCACACATCAGAGGCAGTGCTTTGTATAAATTCAGTTTTGAAATATGTTTTAATCCTTTGAGCATTTCTTATTTCTCCTAATCCAAATTACACATACACACACACACACACACACACACACACACACCCCAATTTGATACTATAGTTTGCAGTTTCTCACATTCGGATTTGGGCAGAATTGGTCCAACCACACAAAAGGCTGAGAATGAGCAAGCCTGGGCTCTCACAATGGCAAGGGAAAAGAAGGAATTGAGACACTACAGAAGCTCTGTGTACCTTGCCCTGGCAGAGATACTGTACATGTATAAGGAAGTTGTGCTTCAGTCTGTAAGTCTTTCTGTGGACAGAAACCTGGAGGTCTCAGAGGTGCCCCATGCAGGCAGAAGCCAGCAAGCCTCTTCCTGCACGGTGAGGGTTAATGTAAGGGACGGTGCAGTCACAGCCAAACTAGCCCACCGACTCCCTCCCCTCCTCCTCCCCCAGGAGCCAGTCAGGAGGCGGTTCTTCGGGAAAGC